GGAAATGTTCCGGACTCTGTCCGTAAGACCTTTGAGTCTGAATACAAACATCCGGATAACGTGTTCCGGAATTTTACCGGACGAAGCCCTAGTAACAGGTCCGGACTTGTTACGGACAGGGTGGCTGCTTCAGACTGGTGAGGTAGAGTTCCGGACAAGGGGGAGGGGGAGGAGGTGGGGACCGGGGGACGCCGTGCGCACCTAGATAGCTCGCTGCTGTAGCATGCGGCGAACCATGGCAGCTCGCCTCCTACGGTACCGCCTAGACGCACGACGGAGCGCTTCACACCGCTTCAGTGATTCCTTTAACCATTGAGCTTCATCATCCAGGTCTCTTATGCGTCTTCGTGTGCGCAGAATTATGCTTAAGCGCCTCGTGATTTTTATCTTGAGAGGCGCTATAGAAATGATATTTTCTTCTTCTTCTTAACATGAGTCCGATCCCAGCACCCCCCCCCCCCCAACCCCAACCCCCCCCCCCCTCCACCCCCCACCCCCACCCCCCCACCCCCCCCGCCGCACCGCCACCGTCAGACATCTGGAACTTTTCCCTGCTGTGTGAACGCAGCCGAAAGGACAAGTTCCGGTACAAAAGTGGTGTGTCTGAAAACACAGTTCCGGTTAAAAACCGGATTGAATTGTCCGCAAATGTTCCAGAACGTCTGTCTGAAAAGGGCTTTAGAGAAAGAAGCGGCTCGCTTCAAAAAGGCTTTTATCTTCACTTCCAAAGTGACGTCGTTTTTCTATGTAAACATCAAAAGGAAGCAGAAAAGGAAAGACAATGGAAAATGTTTAAAGGGAGGAAAACAGACCAAAATGGAAAATAGAAGAAAAAGAAAGAAAGGCAAAAGCACAGGAGCACTGACAGGAAGAAGTAAGCAGAGCAAATATTGAAGCACTCAAAGGGAGAGAAAGACAGGAAAAAAGAGGACTAATGAAAAGTGAAAATAACTCGTGGCAGAAGAGGGGAGAGTTTCACAAATCCAGTTAAAGATGAGATTGTCGAAAATTTTGTGTAAAGGGGCCCCATGTCTGTGTTCGCCTTGGGCCCCCAAATTGTTAAATCCGCCCCTGGGTGGGGGACACCCTGGACAGGTCTCCAGTCCATCACAGGGACTTCAAGTAAAGCTTGAGCTTTATTTAGATGCAGGTTAATCAGCTGAAACCGTGATAATTAGACAATTTTCTAAAATAAAAAAGGTTAGAACTTGAAATTTTAATCACACTAAGCCGTGCAGAGAATCAAGAGTCAACAGCTGGTTCATTTCAGTCTTCAAAGAAATGTTGTGCATCCGTCTACTGATGTTATTAGACACATTTTAGCACGCAGATTTATCTGATTTAAAATCATAAATAAAAAAAACACACATGGGTCTATCTCTGTATGTACGAACCAAAGAGTCAGGTGAAACGGTGAAGAGCAGAGAAGGCGAGTGGAAACATGACACGCTGCAAAAGCAGCAGCAGGATTGTGGATTTGGTATAAGACCGATCTTTGCTGCAGTCGTGCTGGCCCTAACGGCGACCTCGTTCTTTTCCCTCCCAGCTGTGACCCAGACAGCGGCCATGACAGTGGGGCAGAGGACGGCCAAGACTCTCCTCCTTTTTGCTTCCTCACTGTAGGGATGGGTAAGATCCTGCTCCCTAAAGGGCACGGTCCCACTTCCAGCCAGAGTGAGAGCCACAGTCAGAGAGGAGTCCACTCCCACCCTCACACCAGCCCCCTCCCACCACGACTGGGAGTGTGTCTGGACTGTGACAAAGGACTAGTTACCTTCTACGACGCCCACTCCCTGCGGATCCTGTGGGCGGGACAGCTGGACTGCTCGGCTCCAGTGTGTCCGGCCTTTTGCTTCATCGGCGGCGGAGCGCTACAGCTGCAAGACCTGGTGGCCAATCGGATCATCGAGGAGCCACCACCGAGAAGAGTAACCATCAAAACGCAAGCAACAACTGTAAGAAAATGAGTATTCGGAGCTCAAAGTTTGTCCCGTGTCTTGACTTAAAGGCGACCCAATGGTTTATTTGATCACACTTGGCCCAAAAACACAAGATCTCTCTTTTTCCTGGTTTATTTGTGTTCTTTCACACTTTTCTCCTCAACTTTGTGGCTGAAGTGACGTCAGACTATGCAGAAAAGCTGTTCCTATCCCAGGTCAGGAAATGTGCTCTACCTTTACACAAATTTCATGTTATCCCAAAGGGTTGCATACAAGTGTAACTATATATAAGAAACACTTCATATCGTGTAATTGGGTTTTGTTATTTAAATTGTTTTACACAGCTTAAAAAAACTATAGTTTATAGAATTTATAGCAAGTTTAAATTAAAAGGTTATGAATATTTAAGTTCTCATGTGTTTTATGAACATTTCCAATCCTGTCTGTTTCAGTTTGGATGATAATTAATGTGTAAATCTGTGTGTGTGTGTGTGTGTGTGTGTGTGTGTGTGTGTGTGTGTGTGTGTATGTGTATGTATGGATGTATGTACAGTATGTAC